AGCGGTAAGAAATAAGTTTCTGCATCAATATGCCGAGTCAAAATTTCATCTATGCACCATTAAGTCTTATATCACAAGTTTGCGTCATTTTTATGATTTTCTAATTTCGGAAGAATCCGAAGAAGTACCATTTGACAACAAATTGCTTCAATCGTTAAAAGTGAAGGTCATACGGTGGAATAGCTCGTACAAAAAGGCCACTGGTAAAAGAATGTGGAAGAAAGCCGTTGAGGATTTTGACTCCCTGATAACACCTGATAAGGTAAAAGAATTCGAAAGAAGTGACGCAGTAATGTGTACACACTTATACGCGATTTTTTGATGGCAGAAATCAGTTTTAATAATGCTCACAGATCTGGAGTAATAGCTAACATGCAGCTCACAGAATTTGAGCGCGGACAAAAAGAACAAGACCAGATAGTTGTCGACGTTTTTGAGCACAAAACAGTTCATATACATGGACCAGCTCAAGTAGTTTTTGACCCCACGTTACACAGCTGGGTTAATATATTTTTGAGAAATGTAAGTTCCTGCTTACCAAACGCAGCTAATGCTTCGCAGTTGTTTTTGTCATGGAATGGAGAGAAGATGACGTCCGGCCAGATAACAATGTGTGTAAAATCCGTTTGGAAGAAGGCGGGGTTAGAAGGGGTAGTTTCTGCCACAGCAATGCGAAAGGCTGCTGTAACTGTCACTTGCGATAACAAAGAAGCTGGCATGAGTTCTGACGAAATACTATCGACTAAGAAACAAGAAAAAGGTGGCAGCAAGAGCATCTAAAGAACTTTCTAAATCGATAAGGGATGTCCCAGACGAGAGAAAGCCTCAATAGACTGCAGCGGTTACCTCCATGGAAACCTCCATAGACACCCACGACAGTAGTGGAAAGAAAGTTGAAACCAACGATGACGAACATCGACCTTTTCGTTTCAGCAACAAAGAACTAAAAGAAATAAGGAAAATTTTTCAAGCAGAGATCATTGCAAAATCAATATCAATGGATGATGTAAGAAATAAAATCGAAAAAAATGAAATCCTGGAAGGCCTCAGACCGAGAAGGGTTTATGACAGAGTTAGATCTGAATGGCGAAGCAAAACACAGCTAGACGACTCTTGCGCCTGTGTTCCCCTGGAGATAGAAACCATCAGAGATAAAATGGAAAGGATAGATGGAACTGATGATGACCAAGATGAAGCCGCAAGCGCCTTTTCCGTCAGCGTGGTTTACCCAACTACTGAAGCCAGTCAGGGGCATGGCATATTTTCAACGGGAGAAATCTTTATAATTCAGAAAGCTTGTCGCGACATCATCGCTTTTGGTCCCATCTCGAAAATACGCATCAGCAACCATCTGGAGAAAACCGAGTCGGGAAAGATAATGTTGGAGAAATTCACCTCTGAACAGCTCTTAAATCGGGTTAAGTATGAAAGAAGAATGAAAAGACGCCAGACTAAATAAGTCACCACCATCCAATAAGAGTTTGTAAGGCRAGTTGAGATTCGTGATAGTTTTGATTCATCAGCTTTTTACTCAGGCTTTCGAAGAAAAAAGCCCGAGTCATAAATTACCCTCTGTTTTTTTTCTTTTTTT